ACATTTTGTAGTTTGACCTGACCTGGAAGGTCAATGACTGACCTGAGAAGTTAAAACTGGGTATCATTGGATTCGTCTCTTCCCAAAGAATCTTTTTGGTCTTTACCGCTAAGCTCTTTCTCCAACAGGAACGAAATGGCGCGGGGAGGGGTGGCAACCCCCCCCCCCCCATGTGCGTTCTAGGATGGGAAAATGGCATATGCGGGCGAGGGTTAATTAATATACGATGCTGTCTTTGACTACCGGGGGCCTCCTGCCCACAGAGGGCCTCTTATCCACGATTACTTTACTAACTCTTAGGTAGGGTAGCCTGGGGCAAGACGCCCCAGATAATTTATTTTGCTACATAAATTTTGTCCCACATCACCTAGAAGGCCAAATTTGTGCTCAATGCGTTCTTTGGACATTTTACTTTAAATTGCACCCCTCAAATTCATTCACTTATGATCGGACTCCAAGCTAGGAAGTGATTTGTGAAGCAACTGCAAATGGGGCATTTTGCCCCAACCCCAGGGCAAAACGCCCCACAGTCTGGGGCAAGTAGCCCCATACTCTAGATTAAAGATTTAACATGGTAGTTGGCTAAATCTTATGTGAGAGGTCCGTTAGACCTCTGGAGGCACGGCACTGAAGTTAGCATATTCCATCCTGTCAGGTGTTCAGCTATGACACTATTGTATGAGCAGGTTTTTCACCTGCCTCATAAGACCAAATAATACATTATTGCAATGCAAATGTTTACAAAATACTTCCTTTGCCATCCAGTTGCTGAGAAAAATGCACATAAAGGCATAGAAACTTACTGTTCGCCAGCTACCGAACATTAGAAAGTGGGTAGCCCGAACAACACACGAGGTAAAACGCCCCATGGGGCTTTCTGCCCCGCGACCTACTGGGGCGTTTTACCCCATCACGTAGTTCGGTCAGAGAACAACGCCTTGCACTCCAGCAAGACATAATTTAACACGAACCAACCCGGCATGATAAGCGTTAGGCAATAGTTGTTCAAAATACATAAAGTCTTTAACCTGATGTGGACCATATAAGAGCGCCATGATGCATAATCTGACAACAAAACATAAAAATCACTCAAAAAACACATTTTTGGCTATATCTCCCGAAAGAGTCATCACAATTTCTTTCCAGTCTGCTCATATAATGATCATATAGAGCACGTTTTATAGAAGAGAGGATGTTTCCCCAGAACTCTGCCAGTTCCGAGAAACATCGGTGAGGCGTTTTACCTCGGCGGGGCGACTTGCCCCGGTCTACCCTATCTACAGAGGGCCTCCTCTCAGTACAGATTGCCTCTTATCTACAGAGGGCCTCCACTCTGCTGACTGCTGAGGGTGTCTTTCTCTTCAGAGGGCCTCCTTTACAGAGGGCATTCTCTCTACAGAGGGCCTCCTCTCTAGTAGGTACCTATCTACAGGGACCTCTTCTCTACAGAGGGCTTCCTATCTATATAGGGCTTCCTCTCTTCAAAGAGTCTCGCCTCTACACAGGACCTTCTCTATACCTACAGAGGACCTAATCTCTGCAAAGGGCCTCCTCTCTTCAGAGGGCCTTCACTCTACAGAGGGCCTCCTACCTACAGAGGATCTCCTTTCTACTGAGGGAGTCCTCTACAGAGGGCCTCCTCTCTTCAGAGGATCTTCTCTCTACAGAGGGCCTCCTCTCTTCAAAGGGCCTTCTGATTTCAGACGGTTTCCTCTCTACAGAGGGCCTCCTTTTTATAGAGGGCCTCCTTTCTACATGGGGTCTCCTCAGACCTCACTACAGAGGGCCTCCTACCCACAGAGGGCCTCCTCTCTACTGAGGAGTCAGAGGGGCCCTAGCGGTCAGACAGAGACACTAGTGGTTATTCACAGGAGGTGAGAAGGACCCTAGAGCTGTCAGGCTGGTCAGAGGGCCCTCGATTGTTCGGACGTCATTTTTTAGACTCCCGCGTGAATTTCGTTCACCTCCGACGTGATTTTGGCCTGATTCCATCCGGGGGCCTACTAAAACCCCAAGGGAGGGGCGGGCGCCCCTTCAGCCCCCCCAATTGGCTACGTCCCTGGTCCAACTCCATACCTACTCAGTACTCATAGTAGAGCTTTGCGGGACTCCTAACCCGCGCATGACTGGGGGGGGGGGGGGCTCTACAGAGCCCCCTCATGTTTTTCAGCAATATCTTCTAAACCGTTTGACGGATCAACACGAAACTTGCGTTACCCTCAGAGGCATCAATTTGACACCTTTTTTTTATTTCAATTTTCTAGCTACCATAGTTTAGCCGAAAATGACGTCAGAGTGACGTCATGTCGGCCGATTTTCATGCAAAATACTGAAATACGGCAAACGCTCTCAAGAGCTCAGTTTTAAAGCTAGATCCATTTTCTTTGCATGAGTGGACTACAAATACACGTAGCTATCGAACTGCTTTCTCGATTTTCAAAGTTTTGAAAATTTTGAAAAATATTGATTTACAATTACAAAAATATATTTTTTGATTTTTTTTCAATTTTTTTTTGACTTTTCGCAAAAACCGGAATATATGTGATAGAACACACACTGATTAACTACATTTGCAAGTTTTAGCCCAATATCTTCAAAAATAGCCAAGTTATTCGCATTATTGTCAAAATTTTACAATTTTATGTTTTTTGAAATCCATTTTTCAGTACGTTTTTGACGTCGTACAGCAATATAAATGGCACCATCGTGTTCCTGAGCTCAAACTGCATCTGAAAGGCACCTTTTGTTGAAAAATTTCATTTTCAAAATTTGACCTTTTCTGACCTGAAAGTGACCTGACCTCCGGTAAATTCAGCTGACAATGACCTCAAATGACACAGACGACACTATTTTCGAAATCTACGAGTAAAATGGACCATAAAATATGCGTCACGTGACCGATACATGATATACAATTTTCGTGACCTAGGATGACCTGGCCTTGACCTTAAAAATTCGAAGTAAAAGTTCGGTAACCTCAGGGTATTTAAGGCATCCGTCAAGGAGTGCGTAAACCAAAAATGAGCCTGATCGGACCGGCCCCAGTAAACATGCCGACGTCGGCCCGACATCGGCTGGACGTCGGATATGCCCGCATGTTCCGACGTCCAGCCGAAGTCCAGCCGACGTCGAGCCGAAGTCCAGCCAACGTCGAGCCGAAGTCCAGCCGACGTCGAGCCGACGTCGGGCCGAGGTCGTTTGCCGAGGTTGACGAGAACGTTGGTCGTTGGACCGACGGGGCCGACGTCGGCATGTTTATTGGGACAATGCGCCAAAAATATCAACCGGCGGCGGGATTCGAGCCCCCCAGTCGCTGACGTCGGCATGTTTACTGGGACAACACGCTAAAAGCATCATCCGGCGATGGGATTCGAACCCCGTGTCATTTGAACGCGAGATTAGTGCGCTAACCACTACACCACGCAGCCAGATAGCGATTTTGGTTTGTTTTGTTGGGTTATGCCCTTTCGGTCTGACAAGACCATTTCAGAGCCGGAAGGATGATAGGATGGAGACATTGGTCTTCTTGGCGAGCACCCTGGGTCCAGTTCATATAGAGTCCCTGGTCCCATTGCTGTTACGTGACACTTATTGGAAAGGGCGACCCCACAATGGATTCATATAGCCACTCTTACACACCTGCACCAACGTTTCCCAAAGTGTCCCTTTGATAAGCGGCACTTTGGCAAAGTGACACTTGCCGACTGGCCTTTCTATATGAACTGGGCCCGGCCCTGGTGAGTTGCCGGGGCTGAGCCTGACCAAAGGATAGGCCGAGCAGCCCCCAAGCACTCACCGCACTCGGCTACGGGCGAGCTCAGCTTACGGGCAATCCCAAATGGGATAAAGTTTCCCGTCCCGTCCGGATCAGGGGGTTGCGACGTGGAGGAAGATTTGAGTTTCCTGAGGATATTTTGAATACAGAAGCTCTTTATGAAACATGAAACATGCATTTTATATTATTTTAACGGTCAAAACAGCGGCCGATGTCGGTCCGACGTCGCCCCGACGTCGGCCCGACGTCGGCTGGACCTCAGCAATTGATCTCGGTCCGACGTCGGCCCGACGTCGGCTGGACCTCGGCTGGACGTCGGTACATGCGGGCATATCCGACATCCAGCCGACGTCGTGCCGAGGTTGGACCGACGTCGGGCCGACGTCGGCATGCCGATACCGAGTTGCCGACGTCAGCCCGACGTCGGCCGACGTCGGGCCGACGTCGGGCCGACGTCGGCATGTTTACTGGGTCCGGCGGTCAGAGCCTAAATTGTGAACTAACAAAAATGTTGATAATTTTTACTTTGACCTGACCTGTGACGTCATCGGTGACCTCGAGGTCAATGAAAATAGGTTTCGCTCGACAGTGTTTCCAGGGCTATCAGACGCCGTTTGAATTTTGACGATCGGTCCATTAGTTTCGGAGATAGGAGGGGGGCTCTGGAGAGCCCCCCCCCCAGTCACTCGCGTTATGGAAAATACCCCAGTCATGCGCGGGCTAAGGAACATATATGGGCCTCGGCACTCAACCACCTCCCTGTCGGCTCGGAATCGGAATGGGCTCTTAGTCTTCCAGATCACCATGGGCATGGACGTGTTCCCCAAAAACCAAAAGGGATGAAGTAAGTGAGGCATCAAAGCACAATAAAATGCTGCCAGATTCAGGTTTACGAATACCAAACTGATGTCAGCTTCACAATTCCATTGCAAATGGCATGTTTATATGCGCAGGATATGTCGAAAATTTTCACGCATTGCGACAATGCAAGATTTAAACGAAAGAAAGGTAAGATAATTATGACGTTTTTGTAAAAAAGTAGTGTAGCTTAGGCTTAATTTCTACGCATTTATTCGAAAAGGTTGTTCACGCCATCAGAATTAGGATTAATTAAGAATCTTGGTCATGAGAAATCATTTCTTTCATAATTCATTATCAACGTTATTTATATCTCTGACGTCAATCAAACTTCTATTATGCTTGATATCTGAAATATCAATTCCTTGTCCTTGACTAAGCTTGCGAAAAGAAATTTATAGACGTTCATGATAAATAACATGTGATAGTTCAAAATCAATATCGACGGGGATTAATACACTTTGGTCACTCTAGTTGTTACTACTTGCTACGCATGCAATTTATATGGTGGTTCTACAAAAAGGTAGTTTAATTACAGCTGCAATTGATCTTGTTCTTGCTTCAAAGCAAGGTGAAGGGCCCGTGAATCGACAATGTCAATGTGTGCTTCATCGTCAGTTCTAGATCAAGTTAACACATTGTTCTGATGCTGGCTTTAAACATTTAAATAATTGATATCATTGTGGCATAAGACCACTATTTCATCTTTAGATATTAATGTCACTGATTGCTTATCATGGAAATGCAAAATCAATGAGTCAGAGTGGCACTTGTTATCGGATCATCTGCACCAAATTTAAATGTGGATTGTTTGGATCTGTGTTGTTAGCTGTATGCTTCATAACCTGGGTGACATCAGCCACCCTTTCTCAGTCAAACCATGGATGGGGACCAGACTGGAAAAGCACATGCTATGCCGAATATTTCCGGCATGGCGGTACTTATTGCGGCAAAAATTTCACCTCGCGTCTGGCACAACTTTGCATGCACCAAATTCAGCACATGGCGGCCACTGAATTTGTCAGCGCAGGGCGGCTGCATAATTTTTCGCCGCATGGAAGTCACTGAATTTTGACAAGCCAGTCAATCTAGGAGCAGTTTCACCCTGTGGGTGGCTCTGGAGACGGTTTGGAATGAGATGTCCCTCACCTCGGTCGTTGCGTGCTCTGACTCGCAAACTGTTCTGAGTCAATTCAGCGGAGGAGCTTCCGCCCTACAGGTGATGCCTTCACCCTCGGTGCAGAGATAGGCATGGAAGACCTTGTTGAACATGGCCGAGCGTTGTGAAGTAATCTTGCAGTGAGTTCCAGGCTCCTGCTCACTGTGGGATCGATGGGATTAAGAGCGCTGCCGCTGACGACCTGGTGAGACAAGCGACTGCCCTGCCATCGGACGCCAGCTCTCTGACCTGGGCCCTGTTTCACCGGTGATTATGAAATTCAAATTGCGCGAGCTGACGTAATATGATGACGAGCTGATAATATGAATTCTGGCACACAATTGCAGCAATATTGTTTGATGTCATCGGTCATCAACTAAATGTTCGAAGCTTATGTCCAAATTTTCCTTAAACCAAACTTCTTTTAAATACATTATATTAAGAAATATATTTAAGCAGCGTGCTGCTATCACCGGTGAAACAGGGCCCTGGGGAGTTCATTGTGCGGCCACGCGTCAATGGCGTAACAACTTGTCCGAGTCACTATTCAAGCCACTCCTCGGGAGCACGCCGCCGCTCCCTATCCCCGGAGAGGACCGAGAGGACGCCGTTTCGGTGCACCAGATGAGGGCGGGCCACTGGGACCGCTCGGCGCTCGTGCACTGAATCGGCCGTCTCCTCTCCGCGGCATGCCAGCAGTGGCCGAACAAGCGGTGCCCTGTGGCTCTCTGCGCCGTGTGCCAAGAAGAGGGTGATTTGTCGGAACACGTGCTGCTCCGCTGCCTGACCCTTGTTGGTGCCCTCCAGTCTCGAACACATAACTCCGCAAATTTTTGTGGCCCTGAAACTTCCGTCTGGGCATTGTTTCACGGCACGACGCTACGGTACGCATTACGCGTATTGTGGAATTGAATTTCCATAGAAACATCAACTAATTCAAACGTTTGAACCCGGAATGCTCTGTGCCTGGTTGATATAGGCTTGGCTGGTAGATGTGCACACAAGCTTTATGTAAAAGTGGCTTAATTTTGGCTCAAATAGACACCCAACTTTCAGCGCAAATCATGCAGAAATTTCAGCGCAAAATCGCTTGCGCCGAATTTCGGCGCATGAGGGTCTCACGGGTGTCCGGCGTAGTGTGTGGATGTGTTCCAGTCAGGGATGGGGATACTGCTGAATAGGTAGGGGAAAGTGGGTGTATTGCGCCCTCCTAACCAATTGCGCCCACCAACATTCCCACGGATTCAATGGCAGGTTTAGAGTTTTGTGTTCGAAAACATTATTTTCACCACTGGATTGTTCATTTTATGGCCCAAACACTCCGACGAAGCCAATCAGCAAGGCTCATTACGCCATCAAAGATGTTATGGCGTTTTCTTAACTTTTTTGCAGTATTTTGAACCGTTGGCTATAAAAATTTACAATATTTGTGTGATTTTCAGAGTGATATTTAGAAAGAAAAACCCCTTTTTCATTGTATATCACTGAAACCGTAAACTTCCTGCAACATCTTTATGATAACTTCTATGCTTTTATTAAAAAGTGCCTCAATTTTAATTGCGCCCATGGCAATTGCGCCAGGGGGGCGCAAATAGAATAATGGTGTAGCCATTGTATCACGACAGTATGAATGCATCATTAAAGGAAATAGTTCACTTTCACGAAATTTTTTTTTTTTTTGCAACGGATTTATGATTTTTTATGTTCAAAATAATCAGCAAAGAAAATAAAACCTTTTTATAACAAAATATTCTTTTCTATATTTTGATATAGGAAGAACTTTTCAGTTTCTGTAAGGCACACGCGATCCAGTATGAAAAGAGCATGGGTCCCGAAAATTCTTCAGAAACAGAGAAATTATCGCAGCCACCGGCATTTGGGCGATCTGCTCGATCTGATAATGTTCCCCTGAATGTCCTAATTGATCAGTACGAGAATTTCTCTAGAGTTCTCGTAGATAATTTCTCTAGTTTCTGAAGAATTTTCGGGACCCATGCTCTTTTCATACTGGATGGAAATATATGCAAGGCACACATCCTCAACGCAAGACATCTTTTTCGGGACGAGAAATGGAATATCTTTGCCTAGGGTGATCGTTGGGCTGTAAAAGCTCCTGATCATGGTGTGTCAAAAGTGGAAATAGCCGCCCGGCCTTAGTTCGCCAGCCTTGTCAATAGATGGCAGTACCACAATATGGGCAGCGGATCGTGCAATTGACGTCAAATTTTCGTTATCAGCTAAGAATTGAATGGCGAATCTTTTCATGCAAGAATCAAGTAAATCGGTCCACAACTTTTCTAGCAACAGAGATATGAAGTCAAACACCCTGCCAGAGCGGCGGCGCGGCGGCCGGCGCGGCGGCCTACGCGCCGCCTGGGAGACTGGCGGCGCTGAACGGTTCCTACTTGGCACTGCACTAAAACCTGTTAACTGCTTGGAATAGTTATTATAGCAAAATTTTCATTCAAGTGAGGAATAACTAAGGGCAGGAAGTATGTATGCTTGTGTGCGTACTGTGTAAGCCAAGAAACTGCATTAGCAGATACTCGCTAATATTAGATCCAGCCAATTCCAAACGCATTCCAGGCGATGTGTTTCTGATGGGTCAACAATAATTATCGTTCGAGGGCGGATACAGTTTTAACAATACAAAAAATATTTTTGCACAGCTCTATTCCTTGAATAATTCTCTTCAACGCCTCATTCCTAGTTAAGCGAATTAGCCCATCCTGGTTGAATAAATAAGGCGATTTCGCCACAAGGTCGCGGAAAACCGACCGAAAACGGCCGCGCTCAACGTTAATTTGGGCATGCAGACTCTTAAAAACTCGCATTGGGCGGGTAGGGTTTCCCATGTATTGGCTCTAAAACACCGTATTCGGCTCCCGAATACGTCCAAGTGACCCGCCTCGTTCCTAGTTAAGCTCTAATTAGATCAAGTGACTCATAAGGAGCGAAAAAGCGACAAAAAGCATGAATTTCCCTATGGCGGCGGGCTGCCGGGTTGCCAGACGGCGCACCGGCTATTTCCACTTTTGACACACCATGTTTATGCTCGTCTCAGCCCAAGCTACGGAACTGCTATTCCAGTTCAAAACCCATGATAAAAGTGAACTATTTCCTTTAACTGATTGCTATAAAGAAGGAGTTTAATGTCAGGCAAGGGAGCAGCCCGCTGTCGTTAGTCCGCAAATTATTTCTCTCGTCAAACTTATAATGCAGCTGCCATTTAGGCCACGACTTGTGGTGTAATTGACAAAATACGACATTTTCAACATGGACTCAGGCGTGAGAAGTGACAGCTATGATAAAAAAGTAAAAACTGATGTCATTAAGTTGTCAAAACGATAAAAATTATTAATTTTGAAAGAACCGATTGAAAGGTTAACTGTATAGGCGCATACGTTCACATATATCTAGTCGGTTACAGTAAACGTTTTCGTTGCACTTTTACAAGCGTACGGACACATGTAAAGTTATCTACCTGGGCAAAAAACATCGCGATTTATATCTACATTTATTATTCATCCAGCCTGAATAACATTATAAATGTTTAAGTAAGCCGCAATGACATTAGACTGCCGGGGTGTATGCATTCCGTCTCATTCACTTAGCCATGTTAAAGTATAGGGCGCAATTGGATTCTAATTGCGCCATCCCCCTGGCGCAATTTGCAGCAGTTGTTGGCAAATGCGCCCTTTTGCATGTTTCTGAAAAAGCAGCTGTCAGAAGCAAACGAAACATTCTTAATTGATCGGGAGGCTCTTAAATCGTAGCCAATGAGCTCCTGTTTGAAATGGTTACCAGTGCATACTTATATCTCCAGCGGTTTTCTTGCAATTAGCGTTTTTCCTTAAGGTGGCGCAATTCACCCTCCTTCCCCTACTGGTGAAAATGCTCATTTTACATCATCGCTTGTCCGTTACTGTTTCCAGAATCATGGTGGCCGATCCGATAGGTGCCTACCTGCAGAGCTCTCTGTCCAAGCACAGCAGCAATGGAGGGCAGCAGGCGGCCATACTGCAGTCCAAACTGCAGGTCAGTAGTGGTAGCAGTAGCAGTAGCTGTGCTAGCAGGTAGCACCAGTAGCAGAGTTAGCAGCAGTATCCATATTCGTAATCAGTGACTGCTGAAGGTTTTAACTTTGTGCCGTTTATTCTACGTCAGTAATTGACCAACCCAAGCAAACTTGGCTCACTGCCCCGTCTGTTCCAGGCGTCTGCGAAGCGCGCGCTGCTCACCCGTGTTGAGTTCGAGCCGGCCGAGAAGCAGCACAGCCACATGTTGCAGACGCTGCAGAACAAATACATCGTGCTCGGGGAGCGAGACTACGCGGCGCAGGGCGCCAACGGAGCGGCAAACGGAGCGGCCAACGGTGCCGCCAACGGAGTGGCAAACGGTAATAACTGTTTGTGTGTGTGTGGGGGGGGAGGAGGGGGGCAGAGGACAGACACGGCCACAGATGTCGAAGATCCGGTAGGAGATGTGCTTCGGGTATTGTGACTGATCTCATCTCATGGTACACCGTATGCCTGACGTCTGACGAGCGTAATGCTCAAAATACCGACCTGACCAGAGGCCGTTCAGTTGCGTTACCAGCCTTGCTCTGATCCAGGGGTGCTGTTCAGTTTAACTGAGGGCTGCCGTTCTGTCTCTGTCCTGGCCACGTATGCCACCCTGTAGCTGACTCTAACATGGCTCTGTCACCCTGTTCTCGTCTGGCCTGGGGTTCCGTCACCCCGCACCTGTTTCAGTCTGACCTGGTTTTGTCGCCCTACGACTGCCCTGATTCGGGATCGGTTCCCCAATATCTGTCCCCGTCCCGGGATCAGCTGCCCTGTCTCTGTCTATGACCCGGTTATGTCGCCTGGTCTCTGTCTCTGACGTCGTTCTGTCTGTCTCTTCCCAGGCTCGGCCACTCCCGTCGGCTCCAGCCGCCCCCAACCGCCGGTGGTCCTCAGTAAAAAGTCTGACCTGAAGCTGGGCTGGGGCAACAGCAGCTACCCCACCGGCGCCGGCATGGTCAACATGGGCAACACGTGCTACCTCAACTCGAGTCTCCAGGTCAGTGGCGGGGGCGCCAGACGCGCTGGGGCACTGAAGGGAGATTCAATGGAGAGTTGAGTGGTCAGGGGACTGGGGTGGGATACGAGCTGCTATCTGGGAAATGCCAAACCAGCAGACAAACGTTTGGTTCTACGAAATTGTTGTGTGTGGAAACGGTGTTATGGGCAATCATGATGTGCTGTCAGGGCTACATGCAGGCTATCGCGGTTGTGTAATCGTACTTTACCATATACAGCTGGCTTTGCTCCACACTTTATATGACCCCCCTCCTGCCCTCGTCAGACTTTATTCTGTACCTCATATGACCCATACTACTCCATCGAACGTTGCTTCACACGTCTTGACACCCCTTCCCCCGGACGAGACTCATCTCCTCAGGCTATTCCTGGTCATACCTTTTGCGACCCTTTCCCCTCTCTTCGATTCAGGCACTGTAATTTATGTCTCTAGTGACTAGTAGCTGCCCCCTCCCACACACGCTGTTTCACGCGCCCTGGTCTGGTCCGCTGCTGGTAATGACCCCCTCTCCCCCCCCAGGCACTGTTCCACGCCCCTGGTCTGGTGCGCTGGCTGCTGGTAATGATCCCCTATCTTACCCCCCAGGCTCTGTTCCACGCGCCCGGTATGGTGCGTTGTCTCCTGGTCACACCTCATATGACCCCCTCTCTTCCCCCAGGCTCTGTTCCACGTGCCCAGTCTGGTCCGCTGCTGGTAATGACCCCCTCTCTTCCCCCAGGCTCTGTTCCACGCGCCCGGACTGGTCCGCTGCTGGTAATGACCCCCTCTTTTCCCCCAGGCTCTGTTCCACGCTCCTGGTCTGGTGCGCTGTCTAGTACCTCTTATCCCACTAACCTCCCATTATTACCTCTTTCTTTTCCCCCATGCTCTGTTCCACGCGCCCGGCCTGGTCCGCTGCTGGTAATGACCCCCTATCTTCCCTCACAGGCTCTGTTCCACGCGCCCGGTCTGGTGCGCTGGCTGCTGGGTGCTGGTAATGACCCCCTTTCTTCCCTCACAGGCTCTGTTCCACGCCCCCGGCCTGGTGCGCTGTCTAGTACCTCTGATCCCACTAACCTCCTATTATTACCTCTTTCTTTTCCCCCATGCTGTCTGTTCCACGCCCCCGGCCTGGTCCGCTGCTGGTTATGACCCCCTCTCTTCCCCTCACAGGCTCTGTTCCACGCCCCCGGTCTGATGCGCTGGCTGCTGGTAATGACCCCCTTTCTTCCCTCACAGGCTCTGTTTCACGCCCCCGGCCTGGTCCGCTGGCTGCTGGAGGACGGAAGGCACGCCGCCCGCTGTTCGGGCGCCGACCAGTGTACAGTGTGCTCGATGGCGCGGACCCTCCGCTCCACACACCAGAGACAGGGAGGCGTCGTCAAACCCATACTCATCTACTCCAAACTGAAACGTACGTAACAGTGCCTAGTGGGAGGAGTCGTCAAACCCATACTCATCTACTCCAAACTGAAACGTACGTAACAGTGCCTAATGGGAGGCGTCGTCAAACCCATACTCATCTACTCCAAACTGAAACGTACGTAACAGTGCCTAATGGGAGGAGTCGTCAAACCCATACTCATCTACTCAAAACAGTGCCTAATGGGAGGAGTCGTCAAACCCATACTCGTCTACTCAAAACTGAAACGTACGTAACTGCTAATAAGCGGCGGAATCGCGGAACCTATTCTCAACTACACACTAAAAACGCGAATAATCTATTCTAAACTGAAGTGCATGTGACTGTAAGCAGTCGATTGTTCCGTGATCATCTTTTAACATTGTTTTATGTGAATCGTAACAATCAATGAATTATTTCAAGTTTTCCATATTTCCAGGCATGAAACTGTTGTTGATTCATCACTTATTCTCAAATGCTGGCTCATTATATCATCACTTGTTCGTCTGCCTTGGTGTGGGCCATAGGGCATGCTGAATGCACACTCATTTCTTTTCTTGTTTGCCTGTCTTGACCTGCTGTAAAGCGACTGACGTTGACCGTGTGTGTGCCGTTGCAGTGATCTGCAAGCACTTCATCCACGGCCGTCAGGAGGATGCCCACGAGTTTGTGCGCCACCTGCTGGACAGCATGCAACGCTGCCACCTGGCGGCGCTGCGCGCAACTAAGCTCGACAACCTTAGCAAGGAGACGACGCCGCTCAACCACCTGTTTGGCGGCTACCTGAAGACACAGGGTACGTGAGCGCAGGCCGGGGGACGGTCGAATCGCTGCCGGCACCACTATCCGCCACCTTCTGAGTGGTGTGTCACCGTGGTTCTTATCTGAAAACGTCTTATAATTTACCCAGTTCATCGGTTTCCTTCGATGAACTCGTCATACTAACATGCCGTGCCGTACTTCATCCAGACCTAGTTCTTGCTGGTTCCTTCTAGTCCTCGCATCTAGTCAGTCGTGTCTCGCTATTCTCCTGTTTCGTTTTTATTTTTATTTTTGTCATGGCTGCAACATGACCATGCCGGTCGGCGCGCCAATATGTCCTCATTGGTAAACAAGAGCGCAGGTGATATACACACTAGGGGTGTCAGGGAATTGTTGGTGCTCGGTTGCGGCTAAAAAGCGTATATTCAGGCAACAGCCGGCGTGCCTTGATTGGCTGCTGAATCAGCGATCGACCACTGCCCACCTAATGGCGCGGCACCCAACCCAACAACTGACAGCTGCCAGCTGTCAGCTGTCAGAGGGACCAAACTGTCAGTCGGAGCGAGTCCAACAGGCTGAGACTCACTCTGAGTCTGACAAGTCGCGTGACAGCTGAAACACGCGAGCATGACCGTCCCACTCGAGTGAGGGCGAGATTTATGTCAGTCAAAGTACTTAACCCACTGAGCGCTGAGACCTTAGCCCTATCTAAAGACCAATAACCTGCAAGCCTGCAAATAATTTCACCATATCACACCCGATTTCGTCCAAAACATCATCTTCAAGAAGAAAAACATATATTTGCGCCAAAGATGTTTGTCTCACCCTAATTAAAAGATATGCTCCTATCTTCAAATGATGTATTCGAGGACTGAGGACAATCTGCTGCGAGCGAGGCGGCCCCAAGTGAAAGTGGCCCCGCTGGCGACGCATACTCGCGAGAGTCTGGTGGCTGCCATATGTCAGGGGGGCCAGCGATCTGAGGCAACCACGTGCTAACGGCAGGCCCGGCACCTTTAGGATACAGAAGCAGAAGCCGGTGACGGAGAGAGGCGGCAGTGCGGCAGCGGCGGCGAGGCTCTGGCTGTTGGGCGCCACCCAACGTGCCGCCCAGCAGCTGACAGCTGCCATGAGTCTGGCAGATGGGTTTATTTAGGCCAATTTTGAAGGATTTACGTCGAGTACGTTAAGTATAATATAGAGCCGCCGATGTTTGGCGAAAAAGACCACTGAGAAACTGGCCGTGGAGACGCCTCTATGCAGAATACAAACTATAAAGAAACTAACAATGCTCCCAATGAATGCTCAGGAAAAGTCACCAAATTTTACGTCGCCAGCTCAAGCTGTTTTTCGTACAGAGCAGAAAATCAGATGGGAGGCGAAACGTCTTTCCCATCAGTAATATGGTTCTAAGCGAAGGGTAACCTACTAATTGTAAGATTGATCCTTTTCTAGACGACTTCCATCTGCACCATGATGACAAAGTAGGTGAGAACGAAGCTGAAGAGGGCGAGCATGGTGCCCTTCTGCACGGTGAGCAGACCCCACTAGCCCTCGAAGGCGATTGGCGAGCGAGCTCTCTCCAGTAGCAGCAGCTGCAGCAGCAGCCTCTCGCAGCTGGAGGCACGGTCAGCAGGCCAGCGGGCGGCTGCCAGCTGCTCGTGAAGCTGCCGGCCCTGCTGGATCAGCCGGCTACCGGCAGAGCTGAGCAGCAGCAGGCGCAGCACCACGGCCATCGTGAATATGCCGAAGCCGTACACCTGGGCGCTGATGCTGGCACTCAGGTGGTACATCAGCAGGCTGACGTAGCTGCCTAGGAGGAGGGTGACGGTGACACATGCGTGGAGACTTAGGATCGGTATGGAGAAGAAGGCGTTGGCGTCTGAGGACAGCTGGCGGATGGATGCGTAGGTCTCCGTCAGCCAGTCGAGAGTTTCTTGGTTTGTGTCAGTGTTCAGGTCTGAAGATCGAGGGTACGCACCTGGACGAAGTACTGCAGGGTCGATGGCAGCGATCGGAGAAACCTTCGCTTCTCGAGGGTTGACACGGCGTGTTGAGTGGCTTACTGCAACCGTACCGTCGCTCTTGGTGTTCTTACCAGCGTGATCGGCATCATCTTCAGAATACCAAAGGTCAGACGTTTCTATGTCGTTCTCGTTCTGAAAATGCTGATTGGTCGACAGCGTGTGTAAAGCACGTCTCTGATCAGAAAATCCCGTTACGTAGCGTCCAAGTCTTTCCTGGAACGTGGTTAGAGCATCAATGAAGCAGAACAGAACAACATCAAAGACCAGTTGCATCGTGATCGACATGACGCTGAATGCCAACTGCACTGTGAGCGTGACGAAATACCAGGGCGCGGGCTGCAGCGCTGCGGGCACCCACCACCCGACGAGATAGTTTGGGTGGTGTAGCTCCTCGGAGATGAAGAACCCGGCCATCCAGCAGAACAGCGCGAAGGCCGATACGACGATCAGTGTGACCGAGCGACGCTGAAGAGATGTGAGGTCGGAGGATCTCCCTCGCGCTGAGGTGAGCCGCGCCACATCTGAGACATCCCGGAGCAGTCGGTGCAGCCAGCGCCGGTTGTAGAGGAAGTATACCGTCAGCAGGGTGGAGTGGGCTACCGTGGCGCTGCTCGTCAGACTGTACAGCACGTCCGTGGCGCTGTGGAACACGGAGACCAGGTGGCCGGCGATGGCGGCGATGGAGAGGGCGTAGAGGGCCAGTGGAACCAGGCGCACGACGCTCCAGACGGCCGGCACGTCCTGGTGCTCGATGTGAAGGTGACTGAGCGTTAGGATGGAGCCGACCAGGAGTGTGGAGCGCAGCACTGCAGAGTGGTCCCACATGTTGACTCCTTCGCAGAGACAAAACTTCCCGTCAAGTTCCCGAATTGTGCCGTTGTAACTGCTGATATGAGTTGCAAATCACAAATTGGAGCCGTTTGATGTACGGATTGTGTTGCGAATTTATGACGAAGTGAGTCCTCGTCCTGTCAACTTTCCTTCGCAAAGTGACACCATCGAATGGTAAAGACCATGTAATGCGCCGACCTGAACCTATCGCCTCCCCCCAACCCACGCCTTCCCCTACCCCATACACATACGCGCGTTTTGTTTGCTGAGGACATGCTGCCTTGTATCCATGGGTCGGCTCAAACCACTATTATTCTGCGCTACTCAGTATATTGCCCATTGACCAGCAGTAGATCGCAATAACTTCGCTTACCAACGCTGTTTTCTCAACGATCGATTGAGACGTTTGTGTACCCCCTGACGAACTGACATGCTTGTCAAATGGCGCAAACATAGTGTGAAAGGTGTGCCCAGGTGACGGCCATGTTTCGTCGCGCTGTGGGTGCGCTATGTTGGCATCCAAGTCGTTACCGTTGAATGTGATCTTTGCATATGGTTTTTCAATCCATGAACACATGTCGTGCTGAGTTTACCCCTCGAACACGCCTCGCTGCAAAGCAATTATAATCTTTTAGACCTCCTACCTTTATGTTTGTCATCAAATTCGGCGTCCTTTGCACGTCCTGAAGGCCGTAGCAAAAAAAGTATAAAAAACGGTGGGCTGGTCAGGTAACTAAAAATATTATTTAAATTTTAGCCAGACTATCGGCTTGTTTCGTGATTCCGGTGACCTTACTGTGGCCATCGCTACTGGACATTATCATTAATTGTGTCGAATTGTTGATCCAAATAGGTACTCCCATTTAAAGCTACCTATCCGAGGAAAACCATTAGGTAGGTTTCATATCTTTGCTCAGTCATTGAAGTCAGCCCTGATGTCCTTGTGTAGCCCACGGCGTCAGCGCTGATGTCTTTTGTCCAGCCGGTGACGCCTGTGCTGATAACATACTCTGATGTCGTTCATACTGTGACTGGTGCTGATACCATACTCTGGTGTCGTTCCAGTGACGTGCCTGCTGATAACATACTCTGGTGTCGTTGATACTGTGACGTCTGTGCTGATAACATACTCTGGTGTCGTTCCAGTGACGTGCCTGCTGCTAACATACTCTGGTGTCGTTCATACTGTGACGTTCGTGCTGATAACATACTCTGGTGTCGTTCATACTGTGACTGGTGCTGATAACATACTCTGGTGTCGTTCATACTGTGACGTTCGCTCTGGTGTCGTTCCAGTGACGTGTCTGCGGTGCCAGCACGCGTCCCGCACGTTCCAGCACTTCCAGGACCTGCTGGTGGATGTCAGACAGGTTAGACGCTGGCGGTACTGCCACTCCCCCCAGAGCCGCTCCTCCAGAGTCGCTGCTTTATTTAGAACCACTTCGTGATCCCGCTGTCCTTGGTCACGCAGTCTCCAGTCCGTGACCTTACCTTTCGGGATCTTGTCCGTGATCCTGCCTCTCGTGATCTTTTTAGTCTGTGATCATGTTACCCATGGCCGTGCCAGTCGAGATCCTATCTGCTGTGATGCCGCCTTCCGTGATCATGTTGCCCGTGGTCCTGCCATTCGTGCTGCTGCTGCCTGTGATCCTGCAGTCTGATTCAATCCGTGACCCTGCCGTCCGGGATCCTGTTATCCGTGATGCAGCGGTCCGTGATCATGCTTTTTGTGATCCTATAGTCAGTGATACTGTCATTCGTGACACCTACTGCGCTGCCGTCGGGAGGAAAAAAGCCGTATCTGGGGCACTTTTTCGAATTGAAAATTGTTCAGGAGAGGCAAAAAAGCGTTTTTTGTTATAGAATTCGTTAACTTTGCTCAATAACGAAACAAAACATACTGCAGTGATCGGAAAGAAATTTTACATCCAATGAAAGTGGTTATAAAAGGGAAATTATTTTAACCTAAAAGCAAAAGGCGAAAAACTTTTTTGCTTCCAATTCAACCCCGAGTTTGCGGAATCTTTCTTTCACGAAAAAAGCCGTATCGTGGAAGAAAGCCGCATCGCACGAGACACCTGAGCAATACTGTCATGAAAAAAGCCGTATGTCTGATACATTGGTTAACCGATCGGGAATAAAGCCGTATCGCCATTTTTGTTTAATCATATTGTCGTCAAAAAGCAGTATCATCGGTGCATTTGTATTGACAGCATATTGGTTCATAAAAGTACTAAAGCAGTTCCGCTGCTGGTTCCGTTCCACTGCTTCAGCTCTCAAGTATGGATATTTAATTGAACGTTCGATACAAAAACAAACCAACAGACCAGGGACGTAGCCAAGGGGGGGGGGGCACAGGGGCCATGCCCCCCTCTAAAGGCGAAAAATAAAATAAAACTTAATAAAAAAAATAATCACAGCAGCACCACACTCCAAGAGATGGTGGGCCAAATCCGGGGAGCTTTCCTTTTCTGGAGGGGCACGACACTAGGCCGCGACCTGTGGCCCCTCCCTGAGCAAAATCCTGGCTACGTGCCTGCAACCGACAAGGGGAATCACGAATGCTGTCTTTGTACGGTGCTTCAATTTTCGATTACACTGGACTCCAGAGTTAATTCTGAGCCACCGATATATTCGGAGAGATGAGTGTGCCGGTCTGCCGCTGCGCCGGAGCCACGGCGACATTGTCGAGAGAACCGAGATAGTGTAGTTTCCCATCGTCGATCACGATCTGCAGACCTCAAAGCACTTCAAGGGGGCAAGAGACGATGAGTGGGAATGCTGCTGATTAGCTGGACACAAGGTTCCCGGAAAAGGGACGCTGTTAAGTCACGTGGTGCGCAGCTACAAGCACGGAACCGCCCGGCTCCTGAACCAAAATAGAGGATGGTGTAAGAACTTCAGGAATTCCCGTAAAGAAACTGCATCTACAAAGCCTGTGCGAAACATCTAGGGCGACAGCACTGTGCCGCGGCTGAGGGTGTAAGCAAATGCCGCCTCATTGTCGGAGATCGCTAGACTGCTGAGAGCTCCACACGTCTGCGGGAACGCCCTTTAGAGGGCGCACCCTCAAAAGGCCCCCAATGTGCACTCGTATTCACAGGGCTCTGATTATAGCGCCTACTGCAACAGAGCAGAGGGCTATTCAGTACGCCTTGCTGCATCCTCCACCGGCCACAGCTGTGCTGGTAGGCTCTGGGCAGCTGCCCGTAGAATATGACAATGTTGGGCTTGTGTGGGTGCTACAAGGTAGCCTAAATTTCCAATATGATTGAGCATCATGGGTATGAGGGAGCCGGAAAGAAGACGGTAAAGTCATTGACCAGGAATGGAAGTGACAGGGGATGACGTCCCAAAGATACATGGGCGTGGTCACAATTATCACAATGAGTGTGACAAGGCTGGCAATAGCAATCGACCTTTCACGGTATTCAAATATATCTTCAACGGTTTTACGACAAAGATTGTAGGTCGTCGTACTAAGCGTGCCGGCTACGAGCTGCATGTCTATGATGATTACCGGGTCGAACTTAACATGATGTTATTTTGGTTGTGGGGTGGGGATGGGACAGGGAGTCCAAATTAATCATGGGGGAGGCTAGGTCGGGTATTTTTTATTGGAATTTTAAACGAAGTTGGGGAAAAGAACGGTCGAATTATACCGGCGCTCCCGGCTGGTTAGCACATCAAAATACTGAATGCCCGGCACCCTGCTGACACCACCGAGCTGGCAAAGTTCTGTTGGCTTCAAACTTCTCAAGTTCACTCCCTATTTTATTTCAATTAAAATTCCCCTGTAAATGGTCACATATTGCTACGATCACGTAGCATGTTTGTGTAAATGTTTAAATGTTCCGTCCAGGATATGCCGAAGCCATGCTAAATGAGTAGATACGGCTTTCTTCCAAACTGCCTGGACCAACGATTCGGCTCATATTTCACAGGCCACCATCAAATAAAAGCCGTATCTACAAGATACGGCTTTCTTCCTGACTTATCAGTTCCACATTCTGTGTTTGAAATTTTGTAAAAATGCCGTATCTGCCGAATTTAAGGATACGGCTTTCTTCCTGCGTGTTTTGCTGTCCCTGATGTAACAAATCCGTTTTTGAATTTTTATATTATATATAATTTTTTCATTTTTGAGTGTACACACGTTTGAGCAGTACCATTAAACGCATCATGAAAAGAGCTTTCCAACGATATCAAAAACGAAAAATCGATAAAAATGCGACTTACGGCTTTTTTCCTCCCGACGGCAGTGCGGCCCGTGATACTGCAATCTGATCTAATCCGTAATCCTGTTACCATTGATTCCGCCGTCCACAATTCTGTCATTGTCTTGCGATTTTATTCCCGATCATTTCATTTCAGTTTTAGTAAAAGATAACTGTTAATGATCCTACCGTACGTGATCTCCGTGATCCGGCCGTGACCTCACCATCCGTGAAAGCTGCTTCCTCCCCTGAAACCTGAACTTTCTCCGTGCATTGTGCACAGGGCCCCACTAGCCCACGATGCTACCGTCTTCCCATATCATCCACACTAAGCCTCCCCTTCAAGTACTCATTTTGTTGGCGTATTCAGCCATTTTAGCGTGTTTTCGTTGCTATTCTGCCTGTAAAGTAGCGGTCGGTGCGTAAGCTACTGAATGACTGCTCGCGAGCGGTAGTCTTATAAATGCCAACTATAAAAGCGTTTGAACTAAATGCACCAACGGGGAACCCCGCAAAACTAGCGGGGGATATGTTCAGAGGGTGTTGGGAAGAAGGTATGAGTGAGACGCCCGATTTCGAATTAACGACGACCTCGGTTGAACTATGCCATAGTGGTTCAACCGACTAAATCACATCAAAACAACACCCTGAAATAGACCGGGTACCTTTGCAATGTGTGACCAAAACGGCATCTTACCTGAACTTTGCGAGAAGTTTTTGTGTTCTTGGATTGGATCAAAATAGCTTTCAGTTACAAATATGTTTCAGTTATTCCCATTCATAACTTCTTAATTAGCTAGTCAAGTTTAACTTCAGTTGCAAATATAATAGCGCTATGCTCCAAATAAGTGTTATGCTCTTGGTAACTAAAACGTTTCATCACGTTTATTGTACCAGTAAAACGCCTTTTGGGCGAAGAACGAGCGAGCGAGATAGTGAGCCCTGCACGTGCGGAAGAGCGAGAGGGTACTTCCAACGGGGCTTGTGCAAAGCACCCTTCTAACCGGTCGCTAGCGATGTGCCAAATTTGAACGCAATCGGCCCAGCCGTTCCTGAGATCTGGAAGCGGCATTCTGCACGTGCGCACGTGCAAACGGGGTCCAAACTGACTTGCACGGCACCCTACTAACTGGTCCCCAACCGTGTACCAAATTTGAACGCAATCGGCCTTCCGTTCTCGAGATCTGGAAGCGCCCCCTGCACGTGCGCACGTGCAGTAGCACCTTAACCGCAACACATGGGAATGCATTGCCTGGTGGGTGCCTCTACCTGTATGCCAAGTTTCAGCGAAATCGCCCCAGTAATTACCGAGTTATTGAAATGGGAACAAAGTTGGCACCTCTTCTTTTTGTATTTTGCACGTGCAGTGGGGGTCACTCACATAGATCAAGAGTATCCAACCTTTGTTAGAAAGGATGCAGCTACCCTACAAAAATTACCGCAAGACAATCGCCCAAGCGGCTGCTGAGATATGGCCTCTCAAAATCACTACTTTTGCAAAACAGCTTGAACACCCTTGACTTTTCATGTGGCACGTGCCACGACGGTCACTGAGATGTATAAAAAGTAGGTAGAAGAGATGGGGCTACCCAGCAAAAAAGACCGCAGGCCAATCGGTCCGGCGGTTGCTGAGATATAAGCCTCTCAAAAGCGTTACGGGCCGGGCCGGGCCGGGCCGCTCATACTGAGATTTTCCGTTATATTGAAAAGACTCGCTTCGCTCGCTGCGCTCGCCCGCTCGTAATAAACGACTAAAGGGGAACATTTGCCTGGCTCCTGATCTCATCTGATAGGTAATGTCAGATTTTCAAGATGCTAAATGATCAAAATTATGTCACTGTTCTGGGTCTGCCAAAGATGCAGGCTGATTGACTTTGGATGAAATATTAACGTTAAAAGAAGCGTTACCCGTGTTCGGATCTGCTGCTTGACTCGACCAGTAGTTAGCGATGTGTATATCTATATCGTTGTTTTTACAATTATATGTTCCAGTTAGGTAGCATCCAATCGTTACCAAACACGCTTTGTTAAGAACATTATCTATTGAGAATGCTGACTTCAGTCATACACTGTAAATGCCTGGTTTAATCCAACTCTTTCAGAGCGTGTGCGAAGTTTAGCATCTCTGAAGCTCTTAACCCTATTCCTGGCGGGCTCCGCCGGGACAAGAAACTGGCGGGGGGGGGGGCCGATTCGGCCCCCCCCTGAGATCTCGAGAACGAAGCAAGATAGCGACAAGCGGTAAACGGCATCGGATACGCACGGCCAAGATCTACAATTTTTACTAAGGTCATTTTCAGGTCAGGTCAAAGATGACGTCACAGGGGTCGAAAAAGTCAAAATGGCGGCACTAGATATGGAGAGCGTTTTTCTCGAATAACTTTCGAATTAGTCGAGATAGGAACAAACTAAGGGCATCATCGTGATCCTCTCGTCAATCCGCATCGAATGATATATATGTTGACCTCGAAAGGTCAAGGTCAAAGGTTGACCTCAGGTCACGTGACCTCGAGGTCATCATGCATATCATTCGATGCGTCTTGACGAGTTGAACACAATGAGACCATCCACGCGTCTGTATCTTGTTCCTGTACGGAGTTATTGGCCAAAAACCTTTGGTGACCTTTGATGACATCACATGACCTCACAGCTGCCCAACAGCAAAACAGACCTCAAGGTAGTGAAGGTTGATCGTATATGAAGTCATGTATGGTATATGGGGCCATTCCGACCCGTTTTAGTGGTAAAAACAGGGAGTTGATTTTTCCCCCATTGACTTATAATGGGGAGGTCGCGAAATTGACCTGACCTTAGGTCACCGATATCAAAATTCCGAGATATACAAATTGCACATACTGGTACCCTAACTAAACCCTGAAGAGAAGAAATTGATCGGTCAAAAACTCTAGCTCTGGCGTGATTGCAAACTTTTCTGAGTTAGCGTCACCAAACCGCCTCTGGTGACCTGACCTGAGGTCAGATCAACTCAAAATTTTCAGACATGTTGCGTAGAAGCCTTTTAGGAAAAGTCAGAAAATTTGAGCTTCCTAGCTCAACGCGTTTGGGAGATATAACCAAAAAACCTCAGGGGGGGGGGGGGCTCCTGAGGCCCCCCCCCCCCCCCGCCAGGAATAGGGTTAAGTCCTACGTACCAGTTTTTGTCCCTTGGTCTTAGAGTCTAGGGCAATAAGGGGCGCTACACGACATGCCATCGCATTCACAGAGTCTATCTTGGGCTACAACGCGCGTTAGGTACCGATGAATGAGACTCAAGCTTGTTCGCTCCGCCAGCCCCGTGTCTTGCCATTCACACTGTTCCATTCAGCAGCGTTATTGGCTGGCAGTGACGCACGATATGTGTTCTGTCAGTCGTATGGATTCCTGGGGGAAGCTACCGCTCTTATAAACATGCCTGTGCTCTATTAGAATGACTTATACAACCTACTTTATAACCTGGGGTTGACTTATTTATACACTAGTGCGCTCTTTCGTACAGAAATCGTATGTTTTGTAATTATTCGTGCCTTCTTTCTCACGTTAACTGTTAAGTTTGACCGTCTTGCAATGTGCTTGCATCCATGCACCTGACTTTTTGAACTCTGGCATTATATCACATGCGGATACAATTTTGTCTTATTAACCAAGTTATTAATGAAGAAGTACCTAATGATGAAGTTTAAACACTGCAATATTTCGGACACGATTTGCTTATGATCCAGTGCCATGCCCCACCTCTCCCAGCCCAGGCCAATGACTTCATTCAACGGTTCAATGCCTTCTTTCACTACCCGTTGTTGCCCATTCGTTTCATGTTATCACAGGTTTTTAACCACCTGCGATTGTTGCTGCGACTGCGTAATGCTCATGACTGTATGAAAACACCCGCCAACTCGTTTTCTGTTGATCTTGGCGTCAAAACATCATTGAAACTCACCCTGCTACTTACAGGAGTACCGAAGCTGCAACATAGTAAATTGGAAGGTCCTATATGGGCAATATTATTATTTGGGTGACCCATATGGGGAGCAGTGAACGATTTGTCCACTTTTGGGTCTCAGGAACCAGGCGCACGATCCTTACGTCAGATGCATAAATGCATTCGTACATAATCTAACGGTTTTGTGACGTGTATTTGCGATACGAACTATTGTCCACACTCACAGCCCTCTCTTACGTGTAATATATGTGTCTATCCGGACAGGTATCAACGGTGGACGACGCTCTGCACTTGTACTTCAAAAAGGAGCGGCTAGATGGCGCTGACTACAAATGCGAACGATGCCGAATGAAGGTGCCCGCCACAAAGAAGTTCTTCATCGACGAGGCGCCTTTGATATTGTGCATACAGCTGAAAAGGTATGTGGTTGATGTGGAATGTGTTATGGCAATATTCTTACGGAATGCGTGACTACGGAATGCAGGGGCGGATCCAGGAAATCTCCAAGGGAGGGGCCATTAGAAACCAGGAGGCCCCCATAATCCCACCTGTTGGAGGCCCCATCTTCCCACTTGTTGCCCCCCCCCCAAAAAAAACTGCGTCGATTGAGCTTATCTAGCTGTTCAGGCAACATCTCAACATGAATAGCCACTTGATTTTCAGGAGGCCCCCTTTTCAGCTTTTTAACTTTTAATTTATTTTTGAAAAAAATCGACCAAGGGGGGGGGGCCATGGCCCCCATGGCCCCCCCTTGTATCCGCGCCTGACGGAATGCAATATTCTTACGGAGTGCTGAAATATGCGTGATATTAGGTGACTGTTGGGCTTTTCATAAATAGTTCGTTTTTAATGTTCGACCCTCATTGTAAAAACATTTTTGAACATTGTACGATAATTGCTAGCTGAATTACTGAGAAAACTGGTTAGCGCACAATGCACAGCGGAGGTATTTTAGGTATCAATGATATTTTCCAAATAAGTTTTGAACATCGATGATGTAGGTACCGTTATGTAAAACGCCTTGCGATGTATTGATTACTTCAGTTATAATTCTTGACAAGTCGTCTTTACCTGTAGAGCTGTAAATATAGGCAAATACGGGCTGAGAGTATGGGAAATAGGAGCCAGGTAGAAATAATTTTGATAAAAGTTGATCGTCTGTGAAATCAATGTGCGCCAACCAGTGCTATCAGTTAGCAAGTCTCGTGTTGTGTTCAAAGAGACGATTACAGTGAGGGTCGAACTTAAAAAACGAACTCTAGCTATGTGGTAAAAATATGTGTACTGCGTGGTGGTCAGCACGGCTATGTGTATTCGAGATGATCGTCAAAGTCTGACTACTGTGCTCGAGCTAATGCGAATATTTTGAACATTTCGCAATTATTGGTATAAAACCTTTTTATAGGTCGCCCAAGTAAATAAAATAAGGACAGGGTTTCTTTCAATGAATATGACATCCGATATTGCAGGGCAATGTTAGCTAGACGTGCTGAAAAGATGATACGCGATTAGCATCATGCAAATTCATGTTAATCGCCAAACGTACAACTGTATGCACTTGGATGTTGTTTACCAATAAGTTATCAGTTAAAATATTCTATCCCAACAATTTCGAATTCATTGTGATCCTGGTTTCGATTTATGCTAGTTCCTCATTCCTTAACCCTCGCCCTGGCAGGGCATTTTTCATAACACGGCCTGGCAGGGGGGGGGTCGATGCGACCCCCCCTCGCGATTGGCTCCTATGGCAACTAGAAACACCAAATTTGGTAGGTAGGTGGGCCCCCTGGAGTTCTCGCCCCTGTGCAAATTTGGTTGCTCTGGGTCAATATTTAGGGGGGTTTTGGGGGGTATAAATGTAAAAATTTCGCTAAAAACAGGTCAAAAGTTTTTCGCTTATAACTTAAACTAGACGTGCTTTAATTAAGATAGAGCAAAAAGAAAAGCACCAGTGAACTCAGCACGTCAAGGCGCGTCGAATGATATACTTTTTAGCTTGCTTAACCTTCGCCCCAGTGGGGGGGCATATGTTACCACCCTGTCGCGTTTTTTGCGTGTGAATAAAAAACCGCGGCGCGTAGCGCCGCGCCGCTTGTGGTAGCTTTTGGTACATCAATTTTGGACAATGTGTGAAATTTTTGACCCCAGGTCATGTCAGGTCAGGTCACCAGGTCAAGTTAACTGACCAAGCCTAAAAAAAAGTTTGCAATCATGTCCAGCCTGCAGTGTTTGTCAGAAAGGTTTCAAACTTGGTGGATTGCATGCTGTTATGGGCGCCTACAATTTGTATATCTCGGATTTTTTATATCCGTGACCTAAGGTCAGGTCAGTGGCGAAACCTTTCCATTACAAGTCAATGGAGAAAAATGAAAATGCCTCTAGATCCGTGTGTACGCATCGGAACAGTCCAAATATTTCAGAATCACAATGATTTAGTCCACTCGTGATGACCAAGGTGTCATTTTTGCTGGTAGCCTCTAGACAGGTCATCCGAGGTCACTTGAGGCTACAAACAGTTGTTTGCCAATAACTCGCGATTGGAAAGAGATAGAACGCTGGGGATGGTCTCATTGTGTTTGCCTTGTTGAGACGCATCGACTGATATGCAACATGACCTTTTCCGGTAAGGTCATGACCTTGACCTGAGGTCAAATTTTCAACTTGACCTTTCAAGGTCAAATAATAGTTCATTCGACGCGTCTCGGCGAGAGGAACACGATTCTGGCAATAGAAATGTCGTGGCTTTTTGTAGTCGAAAGTTATTGTCGAAAAACACTTTTCGTAAAAACAGCTATTTTTTGACTTTTTGCCCTCTGGAGGCCAAACCGTTGACCTGAGGTCAATATTGATAATGACTTTTTCAAAAGAAGAGTTCAAAAGCTATCGATTGCTCTTCCCTGCGTTATTCTAGCTACCATAGTTCCTGAGATAGCGGCATGTTTTCTGAAAAATATAATGACAATTGGCAAATTCTGACCTTTGATGACCTCTGGTGACCCCAATATTGCTCTAAGGTGAAAAATGACTGAAATACTTTCAAACGTACGCATTGAGAGCTATCGACTGCTTTTTACCGCGTCTTTCTAGCCCTCTTAGTTTTTGAGTTAGAGGTGGGTGGTAACATATGCCCCCCCTCACTAGAGCGAAGTTGGCTGAGACCGCCACTGGGGCGCGGGTTAAGTGTACTTAAAGTTTTTCTTAAATTTTAAGTAAACTTAAATTAATAAATTAAGTTAAAGTTGACCAAATTGCATCATATCGCATATCATTCGATTCGGCTGATCACCAGGAACACAATGATACCATTTTTGAAGCTCTAGCGTCATTATGTGCCAAGTTATTGGCAAAAACGTCATTTGACCTCAGTTGACCTCATTTGACCTGACCCATGGATAAGTACACCAAACAAAGAAGCACCAAGTAACCTGCTGTTAAGTACTGTGGTTTCAAAGCACAAAAGTGATAAAACGAAGCGGATATCTCCAGTATTTTCCGAATTCAGTATTTTCCCATAGGCTTAACATTACGACGTAATGACCTCTAACTGACCTCAGGTCAGTGACCTCAAAAAACCCGAACTACATGTTATACAACTCGGTGAACTTAGCACATCCTGAAAGTTTGAAGGAAATCAGTGCAAAACTGTGAGTTGGACAGGTGCAAAAACAAAATTGAAATTTGACCATGACCTTGTACCGGTTTTTCTGACCTGGTGACCTGACCTAAGGTCACCCGGACCTGAAATTTTCAGGTCATATGTAAAAAGGTTGCCCCATAGGCTGTGCCAAATTTGGCGGCGCTGCGCGCCGCCGTTTTTACGCTATCTTCGAAAAACCTTAGGGGGAGTCGCATCGACACCCCCCCCCCCTGCCAGGGCGAGGGTTAACACATACTGATTTTGGAGCCTTCCTCTTGACATTTGAGTGCGGCAATGTACGGCCGAATGAAATTCTTACTGCCTATACGCGTTAGGCTCGATTGTCATTACCTGTAATTTACTACTGGCTCATTGATGATTAGCAAATCAATAGAGGCGCTGAGTGTCTTCAATATTGGAGGGTGGATTTGATTAGAAATTAGAATCTGGAGCTGTTTCAAGGTATCGTGAATTTCTAATGGCCAAATTATGTCATTGCGCTAACCACAATCCCTTCCAATACGCTGCCATGCTGTCGCCGTTTCTCAATGGAGCGACGAGCCCAGGCATGCACTGTGCTGCGTTTCGGCACTCGGGGACCATTCGAATTACTTATGTCGTAAGATAGTGCTCACGTGCCCGTGCAATGGGGGTCCAAACAATATCACGTGCTGTAGGCTCTTTAGATATTCCTGGGCTCCCTGCATTGGGAATGTTGGGCTCGCTATGATCTTTGGCCCGTAGTGCTTGTAGGAGTAGGACCTCTGGCTCGCACGAATATGTGAAGTGGCTCACATGTTTGGATGTTGTGCCTTTTCAGGTTCAGCCTGGGTGGAGGGAAGATCACCAAGCACCTAGCGTTTCCCAACAAACTGAACGTGACCAGGTTCATGACGCGACCTCCGACACAGGGACAGGTGAGCACTAGGGCCTTTGGTGAGACCTTGGGTGAGAGCCATTGAGCGCCAGGGAGCTAGGTGAGCGTTGGTGATGTACCGGTGATCCTGGCGTCATCAATTACAGCCGGCCAGCGCTGGGTCCTTAGGTGAGTGATTGTTCTCATGGTGAGCTCCAGTGAGCGCCGGTGAGTGCCGGTGGGTGTAGGTGAGTGCCAGTGAGGGCTGGTGAGCTTTGGGTTGTTGGGTGTTCTATAGAGCCTTGGTTGGGTGTGAGACTGAGCGGCAGTGATGGCGTCGGGCCGATATGGTAAATGCGGTAATCGATGCGGTAATGCATGCTCAGGCATCACATCACAACACCCCCCTATGTGATGTGACTGTCGATATGTGATTAGCTGTGGGGTATGTCATTATGCGACATGACATACCCGACAGCTAAGCCTTTATATTGTTTCCCCCACATACGATAGTTAACGAGACCGTGTTTGTCCTTGTCTAAATCACTTGTAAAATGATGCGGATGATCAGTTCGAGCGTACAATAATTTCTCCGCAAATTTGAATCGAAATAGGTTATGCACAATTTTATAAAATGCGGTATTTAGTTTGCGTTCACATTGATTTTAATGTGCGACTGATTTTGTGCGAAAGAGCACACAACATTGCGCTTCTTCCTTTCTGCAGGTCTTTATTAAATCTACTCAATAAACTCTCAGACAATTCGATTTCTGACACATGCCTCGGCTCCTTTTTCTCGTTCCACAGGTGGTCTACTCGCTGGTGTCCCTGATCAACCACATGGGCCCGTCGCAGAACTGCGGCCACTACACGGCCATGGCCAAGGCCGCCAACGGACAGGTGTACCTCTTCGACGACGCCTCGGTGAGTGACGAGGGGCTGTGTCCTGCGCCGGAGGGATCGCGACAGTTACCCACCCCTTCCCTGGGAGTAGCCTGTACCAAAGTCGGCGGTCGCTTTAAGAACCCCACTCCAGAGACAGAGTCAACCTTCCTGGCTTTATGCTGCCCAAGTGGCTTGTCAGAGCCCTGGCGTTAGGTGATTTTTTTCCTCAGTTCTCCATGCAATCTTATTCCCTGCTTTATGGGCGCCAATGACCACTGTAGTCCGTGCGCCCCCCCCCCCAAAAAAAAACAATTCATCATCATCATCATCATTATTCCCTGCTTTCTTCTTTTCGTCTCTCTCTCTCTCTCTCTCTCTCTCTCTCTCTCTCTCTCTCTCTCTCTCTCTCTCTCTCTCTCTCTCTCTCTCTCTCTCTCTCTCTCTCTCTCTCTCTCTCTCTCTCTCCTCTCTCCCCTCTTCCTTCCCCCATGACTCCCCCGCACTTTCCCTGTCTTTACCATTCACTATGTAGGTAACTAAATAAATTAGCGATCATCTGTACTGCGACCACCCGAAAAACGTCTGTCTCAGTGACGAGCCAGTGTGGGACTCGTCTTTCTGTGTGCTTCTGCTCTCAGAGCTGGAGAATTGTCAAAATCTCAGGGGTGATTTTCAGCACCTGACGAGTGGCAACGTCAAACATTTGCTAGTAAAGCGCATGCAGGTACGCTTTCCCAACAGCATCACTGTCCTTGCGACTTATGCAAAACATTTTGTGTCTCAGATGGAATGTAAGCCGCCACTGGAACATGATAATATGGTAATCTTTGAATTTCAGGGGGTGCTCGAGCACCCCCAAACCCCTAATTCTCCACCCGTCTGCTGTGTGTCCTGACACCCACCCACGCGGTAATGCTATCTCAGGCATCACATGAAACAACACCTTGGCCCGCCGGGAGTCCCGAGTCCCGTCGGCAGGCTTCTATGGGCCGTCTTGACTGTCAGGGAGTCGGTAATGGTTGTAACTATCCGCTGGGTTGGTGCCAGTGACGTCAAAAGTAAGCTGGTCCGCTGAGGCTGTACGTGTGGCACAGATGATTGTGGAGCTTTGAATGATGGGGACGGGAGGGCTAGGGCTGGGTTTTTGCTTCCGTTATGAAAATATTTTCTGTGACTGCCGTCCTTGTTATGCGAGACTCTAGGCATTGTAAAGCCATTTGATGTCTTATATAATAAAGTTCAGTTCCTCACAGAATTGCTTTTAATTCAGTGTGTTGCGATCATGATAGATGAACTGTTGATTTAGACGCAGCTACGTACTTTGCTGCTGATGTGTCTTATATTTTAGCCTCGCTATCAATTACGGACTATCATATAAATAAGTTTATAGAGTGCTATGATGTTGCATTGAAACGTCTTTTCTTCAGTCAGTAATATTGTACTGAAGAATAACTAAGCTTCTAGACGTCCAGTCGAGACGGGAAAAAGACCAATTGATCCCAAATTTTCTCCATCATTTAATGGCCAACGCGACGCGGAGCGATCCATGATATCTTGTCTGGGCTGTTTGCCAAAATTCTCTGCAATATTCCAGCCTCGGCACGGTTAGATAAAAAGGGCACATCTGACTCCAAGAAAAGCTTCCGAGAAAGCAGCTTCTCTTCATGTGATACTAGGATCGGTTAAGCATTACTAGGCCACCACATCTTGATACAAAATATCAACCTGCAGGCTTAATTGACTCTGCACTGCATTAAACGCCTCCGTGTGGCTTTGGCTTTACGTGGTTTGCTAATTAGGTTGGTTGGATGCTGTTTTTGTTGTGCTCGTACTGGTTGACTCGTTGATACTAATCGTCGGTTTGTTTTGACCTCCGTTCAGTGGTTGCCATGGTTACAGCTGTTTTCCGACTTTTTCCGTCGAATGCCGGCTGTTAACCTTCATCCGAGAGAGAGAGAGAGAACGTCTGTAGTTTTAGTTTCCAGCTACCAGGACATGCCTCGGAACATGTGGCAAAAGCCTCGACGACATTCCGTCTTTTGCTTGGCTGGAGAATTGTGCTGGACTGTTGGTGCTAGAGCTCTCCCGATTCCACGCCGGCTTGGCTTTGGAGCCACAGCAGACGGCGGAGGTCAAGGTCGCCGCTAGGGTGGCGGCGGATTGACTGCGCCTGAGCACCAACAGTTCGGCACAATTCTCCACATATGGCCTTTTGCCAACTTCGTACTTCGCATGTGTTCTAGTTTTGAGCTAGCAAGATACTCCATTGAACATATGGTGAAAGCCTGGACGGCATTGCGTCTTTTCTCTACTTCGTATCCATCCATGTCCTATTTTGTGGTTTTCTCTCTCAGTTACATCGGTAGCTGAGATCAAATTAGCCAGACTGCTGGCACGTGGGAAGGGAAGAGATGGTTTTCGTACGCTTATTTTACTTGTTGACAGTTATGGGCGCAAAATGACCTTGCAGTCGGCCCGCCCTTAAGCCCCAATAAACAAACAAGAGATGGTTTTCGTATATCCCGAGGCATTGGATGGTGACTGCTATTTCATTTGCGACACCCTTTGTCACGGTGCATATGCGTCTGTGCTGGTCGGTAATGGCGGGGAGCGGTATCAGATGAGCTCAGTGCTGCTGTAACTGGAACCCACGTTTCTCGGTAGACATAAATTACATATCAGACGAGACGCGGGCGTCAGAAAGGAGTGCGATGCACGCGCAAATCGCTGCAGTGGCAAATCGTGGAAGTGTTTGCATAGAGCTGGTAGTGTGAGATCAAAGCGCTTTGAAAGCGCTGTCGCCTGCTGGAAGCTGTGTGTAATCCAAGTAGCGCAGGAATTGTTATTGCCTTACTAGAGTCGGGCTTTGGAACGGAGTTGTTATTGCCTTACTAGAGTCGGGCTTTGGAGCGGAGTTGTTATTGCCTTACTGGAGTCGGGCTTTGGAACTGAGAAGGCGTTACCAGAAAAATGAGGATTTTATATATTTTTAGTGTTGCTTGAGCGGCGAATACGCAGAGGAAAGGGTACATAGCTCAACTCTGAACTCAAGGCTAATTTACTCCGGCAATACAAATAACACACTTGTTTACACAAGTTATTTACAAAAATTGAACACGAAGTGTAAAATTCGTAAAATGGATGCTTGCTTGCTCTACCTGAAGTGACTATGCTCTTAACTCAGTTATTGGCCGATTCCTGAGGCGATTTATTTGAATAAAATGGCTGATAAACGAACTATATACAGTTGCTTTATTCAAGTGTTCAATTCGATTAGAAAGCAACCAAGGTAATAAATGTATATTTCATCTACATAGTAATGCTACCATGCTTTTTTAACCCTAACCCCAATAGGTGAATAAAATAAAACCCAGAATGCGTTACAATATTTGCAACAACAATAACAACAACAACAACAACAACAACAACAACAACAACAACAACAAACGAACGCATCTCCAACGGGGGGGGGGTACCGTGCCCCCTTTGATTTTGACATTTTAACATTAGCCCTATGGGCGTTGCATGGAAAGAATGGGACCAAAAGTCGGCAGTGCCCCCCCCCCCCTTAGTTGAAGGTGTTCCGCCGCCACTGCGTATCTCCCTAATGCGGAAAGAAAACCTAGTTTGGGTCTTTTCCCATCATCATAAGAAAAACATTGGTTAAATTTAGGTAAAGCTGTGTTCGGGCTACATTGACAGTCCCACTTCCTCTCAGAAACAGCCTTTTCGGGACCTGCGAATGTCTGTGTGCAAGTAGCGGATGCGCGAGTACCTACCAATCTGCTGCTATATTACCCAAAGCCTTAGGCTCAACCATATACCTCTGTATACAGAGGTCTATGGCTCGACACTCAGCACATTGTTGAGAAGTTTCGACCTAGTCTGTGCATGCTTATCAACTCCCTCATTCCCCGCTGGCGAAAGCCATATGACCCTCAAGACGTGCGATATAGTTCATAATTGAAATGCGAGCTCTCCGCATAAATTAATGCATACTGATGAAGCTCCATATCCTCTGCTGTATTATTTCGAAGCGCTGACGTGCACCGCAGAGGCCGTGACGCGTTTCCCTTCTGAAAGAGAGTAACCCGAGGCTCCTCGCTCACGTCCTGATGCCCATTTATGCTCACATCGTGTAGTGAGGTGGATTTCCATCCAGTTATTGATATCAGTTGCGGACCGGAGTAATCAACATTTATAAAGCATCATGACGCACGGCATTTACAGGAGGCAGTTCTTGCAGAATGGTCCCGCCCCTTAGTTGGCCTAAACCACGCAGCGATGCATACCGGGATACATGTGTATTGTGTACCTCTTGGTTGTTGCATTTTTTCCTTCATCGTCTATATGTCGATATTTTTTGCCCAACTGGCTTTGGTAGTTTTCGGATCCGTTGATTTGATAAAGTGGATAGAACACTGTCCATCTAATTGTCTTGACGTTAAATCGGTGAATACATTCGCATGGTGCTCGTAAGTAGGCTCATCTTTGCTATGGGGTCAACTACTCACCTTTACTCACCTTGGGGTAGGCCAAAGCCGTATCAGCATGCTACCAAGTCTTGGCTGAGTGTCTGAATCGGGCTCTCTAAGGTATGCTATTGGGTAACTACGTTTGGACTCAATCTTAGGCTTAGAAAAGGAGCCAAGCATTATTCGCGTAAACCACGCTGATTGTATGGCATTACGTTTTCAGCGCATTTCAGCGCTGTGTGAGGCTAATTAACATGAAAGAACGGAATGAAAACAGCAGCACCAAACAAAGACAGGAACAGATATTAAAGTTTCGGGCGTAAACTAATCTAAGGTCTCATCAAAGTTCTTGAGTGTTTGTCCTAAAATGTTAGCCCGCTTTTTATAAAGGAATGTACTTGATATGGCTTCTGTTTTACTCGGTTCTGTCGTATTTTTGAAAGTCTACTTATTCGAAACCTACGCCAGATCCTCCATTTATAGTCGTTAAACCCATCAGGAAGTTCAATGTCGTATCAGAGTTAGTTGATGATGATGTTCGTTGCTGGTCGGAAGCCGTGTTTC